GCCTTCGACCGCCCCTTTACATTCTGTACAGGGCATGAACATGCCAACAGACACGGACAGATATAAGCATTACATCAAACATCCTGTTTCAAAGTTTGTCCGTGACAATTTGGTACGGGCGATACGTACTAGTTCGATGGTATATTGATACGCGGACCGTTCGCTGCCGGACGGAACGTGCTACAGTGCTACAGTAATACACTATAGTAGTGTTACAGTAAGAAGAAGAAATATTTAAAATCGCTTGGTAATATTTAAAATCCTTCTTCTCTCATATTTCGTTTAATTACATTTACATACTCTTTTTTTTTTCTCATAGTGCTCTCTTAAACTCTACAAAACAACGATTTGTGAATTGAATCGAAGCTAATTTAGAAAATATTAAGAGGAAGAACTTTCTAATTAACATGTATGTTTACATAAGGACAATCCATAATAGACTAAAATACGAACCTTATATAATATATTCTTCAAAGCCCGAAAAAGATATATGATACTATTCTTACCTAATTTACATTCATTTTGCTAAACTTATGCTATTATTATATTTATTTCTAACTTAAAAATTTTATCATAACTTTTTTTTTATTTTCAGATATTTTTGAAGGGTTTTACACCTAAATTAGGTGTACCGCTCGGTATGCCCTGACGTACCGTTCGTATACGATACCGTATCATACCAAGCCAACATCGAAATATCGGTACAATACGATATTGCATAACTTGCTTAATATCTCTCATAATTATGATTTGATTAATGATTGAAATTGACTTTTAGACATTTGATAAGAATCTTGGTGATTTAGTAGCTCCAAAATTAATGTTGATCAAAGTAAAATGAAGAATAAATAGGAGAAAAAGAACCAGTTAACATCAAGCAAAACACATATGGAAAGCATATTAAAGGATTCAATAACTATATCTAATGTTTAATTCAAGTTCATTGACTCTTGAATAGGAAACTTAAGTATCATATAATAAATCCAAACAACTATACAGAATTGATTGAAAATAGGACGATGAACGATAATATTGTAAGTCAATGAGATGTAATGATCAAAAAATTAATCCTTATAATTTTTGAGTAATTTTTAGACCCAAAAGTAACATAGAGTCCGACCAGCTCGATGGGAGGAATAGAATCACAAATTAGTGAGATTGAAGGAGATTGACTGTAGGTCATTCGGAGTTAGATCAATCTTTTGAAAGACATAAAAAAAAAAATAAGAACTAATAAAAATAAAGATTATTGGGTATAGTTTTAAGATCAATATCGTGATCTGGCTGAGAGAATCGATCCATTAATATTCTTACTAAAAAGTACTGCTCATTAACTTAATAGAGTTGAGAGCTCGTGATGACTTATATATTCAATCACATATATAATTGAAAGCGACACCACACACCATGAGTGGTAGTACGTACCAATCCTTCATCGTCCTAAAGTTATGCTAATGATATCGTTGATAAGACAACAAATTGAGAGACTAATAATCTATATTTGATGACAAGATCAATGGCAATAGTTATGTTGTGTCGGCTGGTCTTTGTGCTAAATAAAACACCATTAAATCAGCATGTTATTGCAAGATTTGATGTTTACTATGCCACTATGTTATTGACATGGAAGCTTATGGAGATCCCAATTCCATAGGTTTATCCGACTTAGATAGTTTTGGTGCTTATGCCTTTCACCCATCCAAAGATTACATGTGAATAGTTTACGAAGATGTATATTTTAATTATATTTGATGAACAGTAAGGAAGCTTAATTATATAAAATTGTCATGATTAACTTTTCTTGGGACCGATTTGGAAGTTTAGATTAGGACAAATAATTTAGCCAAATCTAATTAATGCAACATTAGAATAATTTATTAAGACTAATCATAGATTATCACCTATAATTAGTTATATTTAATATTTCGATCCATATATCTTCAAAAGTTATATTGAGATTATATACTTACGAAGGTGAAACATTTAATCTCATTTCTTTTCACACCGTCAATCATATTGACGAAAATATTGTAGAATTTACTTATGATTTATAAGAAGAAATAAGATTAAATATCTCAATATAAACTTTAAAAATATATAGATTGGAATGCTAAAGATAACTAATTACATGAGATAATTTATAATTAGCCTTAGTTTGTCATTATCATCGCTAAGCCTTTTTATTTTCTTTGTGAACCATGGCCTAGGCAAGAAATAGATGATAAGCTCATTGATGATGATTCCCCTACAACATGATTAGCTTCCTTTTCTCTTACTTTCTTTCTTTGTTCTTTTATTCTTGTTGGTCCCAAAAGACTTCAAGTGGGTGTGTACATCATGACTCAAAAAATGCCACCCACTTTTTGTTTGATCTGGTTGGATGTCCCATTAATCATTCCTTGGATTTCTAATTGATCACTTCCTTTTGGATCCAGTAATCTAGGATTCTAAGCTACCATTTTCTTGCTACTGCCTGGCAGTTCTTGGATTGCATTAGTCTTGCTATGCTCATTTCCTAGAGCTCACTTCTTGGTCTCCCACAGAAGGTTAAAGCAGTTTTAATGGGCATGAGATTTTGATCAGAGTTGAGCACCACAAAACATGTGCAATTGAGGATGATAACACAAGTTTTCATGAACATCAATTCCAATATAATATGGGAGAAGCCTTTTTTATGTGGGAAAACTTCTAAAAGCAATGGTTTGGAGCCCCCCAAAAAGGAATAAAAAGAAATACCCCATTTTAAAGCTAATTATAGTGCTTTCTTTAATCATCTTTCTTGTGGGTTCTAAAAGCAAAACTCAACTTTATATTAATGGCATTGGTTCATCCAAAAAGCTAAACATATTAATACTGATCTCAGATGATATTTTGTTTCCTTTTCTTCAGCATGAGAATGAGAAGAAGAAGTGAACTCAACCAATAAGCTGTCCATATCTCATCATAACTTTAGTGTGAGTCTAACAATGCAATTCCTATTGAAGAAACCAATGGGTTTTGCACAATATGAAACCTTTCTACTTCCCTTATTATTTATGAACAAGCAGCTATCTAATCTCCATAATCAAATGTTGACACCTGATACTATTTGATTTGATTGCTGAACTGCTAATATTTCTTAGGTCAACAAGGAAGATTAAAGAAATAGTCATCTCTCCCACCAAACTTGGTGGTTTGTCTTTATTTAGGTGTTAAACTACTCTTGGATTGAAAATAATCATCCCCAATTCTCAAACAAATCAACCACTAACTTCTCATCTTCAGATCAATCATATCAGTACACTCATTCAAGTTGACAATTTATCGGATATCGGTGCCTAATAAAATCATAAAGTCATAGCTATTTAGGGTTGTTATATTTATAGTCCTATGAAAATTTATATTTTTTATTATATTAAAAACTTAAAATTTTTATTTATAGTTTCTAAAATTCTTTTTAAAATTTTTTTCGTCTCTTCTCATACCACTATTTCATATCTTTTACGAGTATAAGTTTCATTTGCTTACAGTCATATCATCTAAAATGATATTCTCATATTTTATCTTTGGTTGAAATATGAGTTTATTTCTTTCGTAGCAACTTTTGTTAGCAAGACTACTTGATTATAAAATTAATCTCTTTGTTCTAAGGACAAAGAGTCAGATCATTAGAAAAAACCACTAAATTCTTTTTCAGAAACATGAATGATAATATTTGAGTTTCCAAAGTAGATTCTTCTTTTCTGATGCAAAGACTGTTGTCTGAGTCATAAGAATATTTCTTCAGCATAAGTAGTCAAGTCTTTTTTTTTTTCTTGTTTGAATTGTGGAAAACAGATGCACATCTCAGTTAATCCAAGAACAAGTTCTAGCCTCCCATTCTCTCTCATCCAATTTCTTTGAGCAGCCAAAGCTGACCTGCTCTACCTTATCATTTGTTGTTTCTGACTAGTATTAGTCAAAGCAATGGAAGCTCCTGAAAGAAATCCCCAACCCCTTCAAACTTAAAACATGGTTGTAGCTGTCACCAGCTTCCTCTGTTCTCATTTTTTTATAATCCCCCCTCCCTCTCTCTCTCTCTCTCTCTCTCTCTCTCTCTCTCTCTCTTTCCACTAATTCTCTAGCACAAATAATAATAATAACATTACAATCTCATACTTCTTGTAAACACAACAAGATGTTGTCTGCATTCAATCCTTCAATACAAGGAAAAACAGAAATTGTAGAACACCAAGCTTCATTGTTTAACTGTAGCATAGATGAGACAGAACAGGATGTCTTCATTTGCTCATTCCACTATGGCTGAGAGAAAATGACAGAAACTCAACAAATTAACCACAGCCAAGACCAAGTTTTACTGCAATGAGGAATATCTTTTATATGCTCTCTTTTATTTATACATATAATCAAACACCAACAGCAAAAAAAATTGGCACCTAATGACTAGTTTTATGATTCTTTAGCCTTCCTTCATCTTAAGTTACCTATCCTTGATTACATTGACTTTTAAAGGTCTTGACTGTTGATAAATATTCCTTCCCTTATCATTTTGTCTAGTAATAACATTTGGATCAATGATTTTTTTTCCATACAAAATTAACTCGAGAAAAAGTTAAATTCATTCTGAGTTCTATCCATCCACCAAACACAACATGATGACTAATTTTTTAATCATTTAGTCTTCCCCTTAAATTATTTATACAACATTGAACACATCAACCACATTTGACTATTGATAGTATTTTTAATTATTTTATTTTGAGGAAAAATTGTTGCATTTCGAATTATGATATTATTTTAATTCTTTAATTTTATCATTTCATCTGTAAGCTTAAGTCAATTTTTATATTTACAATTTGAATTGTTCAAGAAATCATTCACATAAAATTAATTTGTAAAGAAGAGGTCAAATCATGATGAACTATTTTTCCTCCTACAAATTGAAGTAATTCCACTGTCCAATTACTACATGCTTACAAAGTGGAGCTGTCTATTCTCACTATTACCTCTCTTTTCTACCGTGCAAAAGAAACAAGCATTTAAACTAAACAAGGGGAATCGAAGCAGGTGTGCCTTCCCTCTTATCCTGTTCCGGCAAAACGACGCCCCCCCCAACCGGCGACCCGACGACCGCACCGTTACGGACTCCGTTTCACTTACGCCACACTGGTCATGAGGCGGCATCGAGAATGACGTCGTCAATTCTCTCACCTCGTGTCTTCTGTTGGGTTGTTGAAAGGGACGCCGAGGGTACACCGCACCGCAGTCAGCCTCCCCCTCGCAGCTTAGAAAAGTCGACGCTTGAAAGCACGCAGCAATCATTCTTGCCTGCCTGCTTTGATCCGTTTCTTGATTCCCAGTCCCCCTCTCTCCCTCTTCTCCCATTCTTCCGCATCCTCTCCAATCTTGGTAAGCACTTGTTGCTCTTGATCTATTTGTGTGGTCGCTTGATAAATATTTTAGGTGGTTGTGATTTACTATTAGCTTTCTTTTCCCCCTTTGAATTTTGACTGGTTAAATGAAAAGATCTTATGATGTTTTGATTTGATACTTAAATTGTCTTGGGAGATTTTCGTGCGTTGATGCCCGGCCGTGATTTTGTTGCTGGTGTTGTAGTCGATAGTTTGATTTCGAGCTTTTGGAGCTAAGAATCAATCACCGGGAGGCATCTCGTAAATCATTCTTTCAGAAAGAAAAGAAATATGGATTTGCCTGATGACTAAGATTGCGGTGCTTTTCGATGGATGCTATTGTAGCTAAATTGATTGTGACTCATGCTTTGTGTTTTTGTGAGAATTAAATGGTCTTTTAGATATGGATGCTGTTAGCGGTGGCCAATTGGATTCAGATGGTGTTGTTATCGATTGTGTTGACTAGGGTCTCTTAGGTTGGGAGCAGAAAATGTCTGGAGGAACGCAGCAGAGCTTGAGGAAGTATTTGGGTGCCCTCAAAGACACGACCACTGTCAGCTTGGCCAAAGTGAACAGTGATTACAAGGTTGGAAGTCATTGTTACTGCTTTTACCTCTACAACTTAATTCTATTTTATTTTTCTTTGTTCCCTGATCTGGTTAGCTTGATTTTCTTTTTCTGTTAAACCAGGAACTGGATATTGCCATTGTGAAGGCCACAAATCATGTAGAGCGTCCTGCCAAGGAGAAGTACATACGAGGTAGGCACGGCATCGTTTGGTTCATTTGGCATTCAAAGATAATTGGAGCTTCTATGATGGGCCATTTTGTTTGCTTTTTTAGGTTATAGTGTTTCTTGGTGATGTTTTGTTGGAGTGGCATCACTTGTTAATTATTTCTTATCGACATACATGGTTATGCTTCAACATGATATGCCATATTTTGAAGTCATATAAATCTAATTACACTATGTAATCTTTCATCAGGTTGACAAAGATATGTCATCTTTGTGCTAAGTATCTAAAGCTAATTCAGATGAAATGTCCCACTTCACTGTTATCGTACCACTCTCTGTTGGTTCATTCTCTTCATCCTTCTGATGAAGAATATATACAGATAATTACATTTAAAATATATATAAGATAGGGCACACAAATTAAAATCATATTCTTGTCTGCCATCAATAAGATGACTTCCTGTCGTTCTATTGTACAAATTTCGATCTGATTCTACTAGGCATTCGAAACCTATCTTGTTACACAGATTAAGAAAGAGGCCAATGGACTAAAAGTTCAAAGGGCACCATTTACTGCATCTGCTATCCTTTTTGCTGACAATGAGAACTTTTTTAACCTCAAACAAAGATGGAAGCTAAATCTTGAGAGCTGAAAGAAAGAATCTCTGGAGGTTACCCACCTTTCCACTGTGGTAACCCCATTACACTTATTCTGGAGTTCTGGTGAATATTGAGTTTGCGCATAAATGCAGTAATTATATGGTTTCCTCCAGAAGAATTTCCTTGTTGGGCACACCTCCTCTTTGGTTCATTTAAGTCAGTTCCAAATAAGAAGCACAGTTGATATTTGGAGTTCCTTTTTCTAAGTTCAGTGTTTATTGTCTTTTGTTCATATATTTTTGACTTGATGCTTGGTTAATTTGTTATTTAATATTTTTGCAGCCATCTTTTATGCTATTTCAGCTGCCAGACCTCGGGCAGATGTAGCTTACTGCATTCATGCTCTTGCTAGGCGTCTTGCAAAGACGCACAATTGGGCGGTATATACTCCACTATGATATTTTCTCTGCAGTGGTTCTATTTTTTTGTGCATAGAATAAAAACTGAAAAGAAAAGAATTTTGATTGTGCTGTTCTAATATATGTCTGGAACTAAGCTTCCCTTGCTATAATAAGTAGTTGATTTCTAACTCCTTGATGACTTGATCTCGAGGGACAATTTAAAGGATGTTTTTAATTTTGATCGAGGGTGGGCTTTGGTACAACAGTAAGGTTGTTTCTCTGTGACATGGGTGACTAGGGTTCGAGTCACAAAAATAATCTTTTTAAATATTTAAAGGCAAGGTTGTGTGCATTGGCCCTCCCCAAACCCCGTATTGGTGGGAGTCTCGTGTACTGGGTACGCCCTTTTTTCTGATTTTGATCAATTAATGCAGCAAATAATTTCACTTATTGCACCATTTCACCATTACATGAGCATTCACTAGATCATATATTGCATGGCAAGGTTCAATACAGAGAAAGACTTTTTTAGTAGAAAAGTAGTTAGAAACTTGTGGAAGAAGAACTCTTAACTGGCGAGATATGAAGTAATTAACTATGTGCAGCAGAACAAGATTTGAGAGCTGAAATTATGATTTGCCTTTTCTTTTGCTTATTACTTTTAAACTTGTATCTTGTTGGAAGCTTTTCTTTCCTGGACTTTCCTTTTTATGTAAATCTCAATAATGAAATGTGGAAGGATTTGAAATATCCAAAAAAAATATGAAATAAATTTACAAGTTAATATTTTTATGTTTCTTTTCAATTTCCAACTCAATGTGCCTTATTAAAAATTACTTGCAGCATATGTGCAACTTACTTATGTTTGCAGTGTCACTGATTTAATATTGGTTGCAATTCAGGTTGCATTGAAAACCTTGATTGTTATACATCGTGCTCTGAGGGAAGTGGATCCCACATTCCGTGAAGAACTCATTAATTATGGGAGAAGTAGAAATCATATGCTGAACTTGGCCCATTTTAAAGATGATTCCAGTGCATATGGTATTCATCCTGCTCAGCAGACTGTAGTGAGATAAACAAACAACTGTTTTATTGTTTTACATGTATGTTCTTATTTGAATGGTTTTCAGCCTGGGATTATTCTGCATGGGTGCGTACCTATGCGTTATATTTAGAGGAGAGGCTCGAGTGTTTCCATGTTCTCAAATATGACGTAGAGACAGATCCTCCGGTATGCAAATGTTAATTTTTTTTTTCCTTTCGTTTCTAGTTTTGTGTACGTAAGTGCTTTAGAAGCTTCCTCTGGTGATTTTGTTGATTCGAGACAGAATTATTTTTGACTGAGCATGGCAAAAAGTTGGGTATCATAGAACACCAAAAACTTAAGAGTTTCCCGTGAAGCCTCTAGATATATCAAAGGCATGAAGGGTGAAGGACAAGTACATCCTTCCCTTTTCTAAGAACCATTATCTCGAGAAACATATTCAATTTATTGGCTTATTCATAACAATGAGTCTGTCAGCTGGGATTTCAGTAGATCAATCAAGACGCTGCATAAAGAGAATCCTGAAACTTCATAGACATAAATGATTTTTGGATATGAGTTTTGTGCATGCTGGAGATACTATTTTGAGATACTTATTAACTTGTTTATGGAATAATTTGACAACTTAAATAGTATCTAGTTATTTGTAAATCGAATTCCTTTTGAGACCATTTTGTGCATGCTAAACCTTGTGGAATGGGAGTGTCATTTAGTTAGATTTTTTCACTTTGTTTTAAGGATACATCTGATATTATATTGGTGGGATGCTTAGAGCCAACCTTTTAGTACTTAGCAAATTGCGGTTTTCTCATCTCAAAATCTTTGCCCTCTAGGTGGGTTCGGCTCCAAGTAAAATACCCTGAGATTTTAGCATCTAAACCCTGTCAATTTTACCCATTACCATTGTTTATATATTATTATGATTTATCTTAGACACTAGAGATTGAGCTTTGGCATGACAATTATGTCACTCCTTCACTGTATAGATGGTTAGAGTTTGAGTCACAAAAACAACTTTGAAAAATCTTTTTGTATAATTCTAAAAGTCTGGACATAGTCAAATTACTGGTAGGATTTTTTGTAGACCCAATATTTTTCATCATACACAGAAAGCTTATAACACTATGCGCAAGTTAAAAAAATTTTCATACAGAGAATTTTTAGTCGAGAGTTTTAACTTTATTCTGAAGTAGTTAATTCATTGCTCCCGCCATGAGGTAGAAATTAACATTGCATGGTAGATAAGTAGCTAAAATGAGGGCTAACATTTCTCTTTTGACACTTGGGTGTCAAGAATTTGAGTCACAGATATATTTGAACTTATAGGGGTAAAGTTGCTTACATGGACTGTACCCAACATCAAGTTGGAAGTATAAGCCTTATTTTTTTGGACTGCTGTAAGATATTACTGTTGTTGAGTTATCCTCAGGAGATATCATCATGGATCATCATAATGAATGATTACTTTTGCAGCACTAAGTATTGATGTGCCCAAATTATCCTCAGGAGATATCATCATGGATCATCGTAATGAATGGTTACTTTTGCACCATTAAGTATTGATGTGCCCAAATATTATAGTTAGTTTTACTTGCTACAGTTATATCAGAATTATAGGAAAACTGTTTGGATCAACTTTATGCAACTAAGAAACCCTAAAACTATATACTTCCTAATAAGGGCAGGTGATTGAAACATAAATTTATTTTCTGTGACATTCCTTAGACCTCATTTAGATGATACATATTGGCCCCACATTGGGAGGAGTCTGGTTCACTGGGCCAAACTTGTTTCCTTTTCTTTCCTTTTTGTTAGTATGGTTTCAGTTACAAACTCAGAAAGATAGTTAACATCTATGAGTTTTGTCATATACATTCCAATTCACTTTGTAATTTATTAACTGATACATTAATATGTGTGATTTCTACAGAGAACTAAGGATCTTGAGACTGCTGAGTTGCTTGAACAATTGCCATCACTACAACAACTGCAACATCGTCTACTTGGCTGCCAGGTAAGCAAGCAAGATGCACTAGTTATTATATGAGTCATTAAAGAATTTAGTTTGTCGTGTTAAAGAGTGATTGATTCTATTGTCAACATTTTGCAGCCACAAGGAGCCGCATGCCATAATGTTATAATTCATCTTGCACTTTCTATGGTGAGTGAAGTTTGTGTTTATTCTGTATAATGAATTATTTACTGATGATTCTCATGACGCTTGTTTTTTCTGACTTGCCACTGCTAGGTTGCTGGGGAGAGTATTAAGATTTATAATTCCATTAGTGATGGTATAATTAATATGGTTGACAAGGTATTGGAATTTCATAAGTTATTAGTTGAAGGAACCCATTAGTTTGAATTTGTTTCTAACTTGTCTTTTGGCAGTTCTTTGAGATGCAACGACATGATGCAGTAAGGGCACTTGATATATACAGAAGAGCAGGTCAACAGGTACCTAAAATAATTAACCTGACTGAGAAATGTATTGAATTTTCATGTTTGAGAAAACCACATTTTATTGTATATTATATCATGTAACGATAGAAGATGTTTGTTGCTATATAACATCAATGCTAAAGTAACTGAAATAGGAGGATTTTTTGCTTTGGAAATTCAATTCAGATTTAAAATTTAGAGCAAAATGTTGCTTGATGGACAAAATAGAAACAAGTTAGTCTAGAAGAATGTTCTTTGTATAAGTATGGTTTAGATGTGTCAACTATTAAGTATATCTGGATTATGAGGAATGATGATTATCAGGATAATGGTAGTACTGATGGGAATCAAAAAGTAACTATCCAATAATGTTAGGAGTAGGATAAATTTAAAGGACTAGTTTTCACTGAGAGATGGATTACCATTTTGTTTGGCAAGTTGATCTTCTTGCTTGAAGTCAACAGACTTGCATCAATATCCTAGAGATGTCCAACTGAATTAAAACTTCAATGTGACTACCTGAAGAGACACTTCAAATAGTATCAGGCAAACATTTCTTTACCCTCTTTTTCCAATCCTGGATTCTTTATGGTCCAATACTAGCCATCAGTACAACAACCAAGTTATTTGAGTTCAGATGATCCGAGAGACTGAGTTGGCTTGGCTTGGGTGAACTTAATTGAGAGGTGATTGGACTCAGTCCAAGCTCAACCAAGCCTTGAAACATAAATTCAGGCTTCATTCTGTAGTGATTTGATTAAAAAAACCAAATAATCAATCTGAAATAACTTCTGAAAACTACAATGGAACAGAGCGTGAGCTGAGCTTGCCATTAGCCTATCCACTCAACCTTGTTCAATCGTGGCTTATTTTTGCAATAAATCTTGAAGTAATATGCCAATGACTAGACCTGAAGTTAGAGCAAGTGTTTCAATTTGTTTGCAGCCATACTAACACAAATTTTTTCTGACCTTTCTGCAGGCAGAAAGATTGTCAGAATTTTATGAAGTATGTAAAAGCATGGACATCAGACGTGGAGAGAAGTTTATAAAAATTGAACAGGTCCTAATACTTTAGCTCTCTCGTCGTTCTCCTGTTGGTTAATATGACAAGGAGTACTTTGTACAAATAATTGCCCAATCTGATGGAAGTTACCTTATTAAAAAATTGCAGCCTCCTGCATCATTTTTAACAGCCATGGAAGACTATGTGAGAGACGCTCCACGAGCTTCCACAGTTCGCAAGGATCAGGTTGGAAACCTACTTAATTGTTTGATTTTTTTTTTTTGTCTGATTATGATCAATATGTTCTGCAAGCCTGCATATCAATAAGAAGAGTGATTTCTGTAATCTTTTCTATCAATACAACATTTAATAATATATTTTTATATCTAGTGTTGTAAGCAAGCAATAACAATTTAACCTACTTATGATGAAAATTGGAGCATCACTTGCAAGGCAATATAGTGATAATGGATCAATGATCTTACCAGGCATATAAAAAATAGACCTTCATTGTGCATGTTATTATATTGTTTTGGTTGATGAAAGTTTAATTAGGAATAACCCTAAACTTGGGTTACCGAGACAAATTTTAGAAACTAAAGGCTAAGCAGGCTAAAGGTCGAATTCGTAAAATGTAATTTAACAAGGTAAGAGAAGAACTGAAGGTGACTATTGATTAAGATGGAGGCATAAAAAGTTTCTACAAGTAAATGCTTTAGGTATATTAGATCTATTATTCAACAAGGAGATATGAAGATATTGCTCGTAGAATAAGAGCAAAATGGTAAAGTGGAGCAATGCATTGGGAGTTATATATGATTATTGTATTCCTTAGATTTAAAGAAAATTTTCCGATAATTGTATGTTGATCATGCAGTGGATTGAAGTATTAGTCAATTGAGTTGTGTAGAAAAAGTTAACATAGTTGAGATAAGAATATTGAGGTGGATATACAAATTTACTAAAAAAAGATAGAATAAAAATTTCATGGGCAAACAATTAAGTATAACTATGATAAATGATAATGTGAGAAAAAAAATATTTAAGATGGTATACAAATATTCAAAAACATCTATAACTATCATTGTTAGATGAGGTGTGAGAACAGATTGAGGAAGAAAATGTTACCAGAAATCATAAAATGAATTTGATTGCTCTTCATTAAATTAGGAATATTGTCCTGTGTAGAGTTCGGTGATGGGAAAATATCCATGTATCTGACTCGGAACAAAATAAAATGTTACTATTTGTTGTTGTGTTATGGCTTTAACATATAACTAATTTTAAAATTAGATGAAACTTGAATTCCTGATATGACTTGTGGCATGTGAATTGTTTAGTTTAAGAATTCACAAGTAAAATCATCATTTAACTTTTAGTTGGTAGTAGTCATGGAATTTTGCTGCTAAAGTATTTATGAGATCCTTTGACAGTGATTACATGATTTTGTATAGAACTTATTTCATGGGAACTTATTTCATGGTGATGATATACATCACTTATTCTGATCCGTCTTCTAAAAGGAACTTGACAGTACTTGATGTCCGTGCAACAGTACTTAGTGAGAAATGTTTGGAATAATTGTTAAATCCTGAACTAAGCTCTTTTATGTATTTGTCTGAATATCATGTGGTTTCATCTGAAATTTTTTTTTATCCTACTTGATTACTGTTAACTGTTAGTTTCTTGAAAATGTAAATGATCTTTTAGTCAAGAGACGACAAAGATGCTGCTTCAAAAGTAGTATTGGCAATAGAGTACAAGAAGACCCCTGAAGAGGAAGAAGCACCTCCACCACCCCCTCCACAACCAGAACCAGTTAAAGTGGAAGCCCCCGTATCTGTAGTATCAGAACAGACAGATTTGCTGGTATGAAACAGATCCAGAATCTCAATTTTCCTTTAGCTTACAATATCTCTGAATCTTATCTCAACTTATTTGTATCAGGGACTAAATGGTGCAACTCCAGTTGCATCAGAACTAGATAACAAGAATGCTATGGCACTTGCCATTGTACCAGTTGGTAAACTCCCTAATCAGCATTGCTAATGTTCCTTATTTAAGCACATGGACTGGTCCCTTGATTTCTTTTCTCCTTTTAAATGCAAATCGTTTCAGATAATGTTCCTAGCTCTGCTACCTCCAGTAGTCTGAATCCAGAGAATGGAACTACAGGCTGGGAATTGGCACTTGTAACAACTCCCAGTTCAAATGAAAGTGCTGTGACTTCAAGTAAATTGGTAAGAGTTTCTTATACTTCAAAGATCTGCATTCTGACCTAGGTTCTCACTTCCCTGAATGACTCACAATTAGCACAGATAGATAGCTCAGTTGTGATGCCACCCATGCAAAATTATGATGATTGCCTTCTTGACTATTATAAATGCAATCGACTATCGTGCAGGGTGGAGGATTTGATAAGCTCACATTAGACAGCTTATACGACGATGCAGAGAGGAGAGCAAATCAGAATGTGAGCTACAACCCGTGGGAGATGGGTCGGATGGCAGGTCCAATGATGCAACCAGTGGTTCATGACCCTTTCTATGCCTCAAATGCAGTCGCTGCACCTCATTTTGTGCAGATGGCAGCAATGGCCCAGCAACAACAAGCTTTCCTACTCCAGCAGCAGATGATGATGTCTGGTCAGCAGCCTCAGCAGACCCCTTTGAACCCTTTTGGTAATCCATATGCAGATGTCTCGTATGCTTCAGGAGTGCCTCTTCAACCATCCAATGCATATTCTCGCCTCATCTAGATGAGAGAGGAGCATCTTTGTATTTTGTTCTTCGATAGGATTATTGTTAATAGTGGTCTACTGCAATTTTTAAAGAGTATATTGTGGTCGATAGTCTGATTTGTTTCTAGTGGTGATTGTAAGATGTGCTTATATATATGCATTTGCTTGCAGTGTGAGGCAAGAAGAACAAGATTCGATTTGTTACAGTAGATTGTAATAATGGATAATAAGAAATATTCTTTTGTGAATTTTATGACCTTTGTTCCTGCAACTAAAGTTGTAAACTACAATATTAGTGCTTCGACTGTTAGAATGAAACTGTGTTTATTAATGAGTTAATTTAGTTTTTATTGCTTTGTTGATTGCTGATAATTCTTTTGAAAGATTCTTTTTGCTAGTGTCACACATTGGTTGAACGAACAAGAGATCCGACTCTCCCCTGCTTCTTTATTTACATGATTTGATCACTGAATGGGAAATAAGAATTAGTGATTCACATTCTTGACATAAGATCCAGAGGAACATGATTCTAATTCTCACTCAAGGGAATCCAAACACCAGCAGGTAACATTTCGATTGGCATTTCAGAGATGGACTGAAAAAGCTTTCATATAACACCTCATTAAGCATTAAGCGATGGTGTCCATTTTGATCACTCGACTTGTTCAAAAGAGTCAACTTGGTCGAAAGAGGATTAATTATGTAGTTCCTACTGTTGAGGATCGTTTTGCATCAACGCTAGTAAGTGAAAGGACTTTCAATGTAGATGCAGAATGATCCTCACCAGTTAAAAATATTTTGTTATTTTTACTTTTATATTTTCATTGATTAAATTGATATCGTGAAGATAAATAGATTTATATATTTTTTTTTTTCGTAACCGGATGTCAATATAATATTTTAAAATATAAAAATCGAGATAACGAAGATAGCTAACTACATATTAGCTATCTAATTAGTCCATCTAATTGCTGATCTAATCAAGATTAGAAAAAGACTGCAGACAAGTGTTCGAGAATGAACCGTTGGATCGGGTTAGAATTGCCCCCTTCAAGTCAGGCAACAACTCGGTGCAAGCCCGTAGGCGGGCACCCACCGAAGACTGAAGTCTAAAGCCAGGCAGGATTCACGAAAGAGGTCGCAGGTGGCAGTCTGTCTGTGGTCAATCAACATCAGACCCTGCAAACAGAATACGGGGCCCATCTGAAGCCCAATTCGATGGTTCATTTCGGTGAAACCGGTCTCGGAGTTCACAATTCGCGGGGTAATCATAATATAGGCGTAGTTTTAGCGCAATCCCGCAACGAGTCCAACTTACTACACATATCAAATGATCCGAACACATCCTATCAACGCTGAGAAATTGCATATTAAGCCATCTAAAGTTCAATATAGCATATGTATCCTCCAAATATTAAAATATTATTCATATATACCTGTAAATATTTAAATCCTCCATACGTGTGTACCAATAACAACCACTATTAATGGTGACCGATAAATTTAGAAAAATCGAAGAAAAAAACATTCTTATAGTTTCATTTATTATTTATTATTTTATGCTATACTTAAATTTGTAGGAGCAAATACAGAAAAAAATACTTTAAAGGGGTATATATGAAAATTTCCTTAAATAAAACCACGCCCCATTACCTCTCTTGCTTTCTTTTCCTCTCTTCCTCCTCACCGAAACCGTCGAAGCCCTAGCCATGGCGGTGCGTGGTTTTCGTGGCGTGAGGGACGACCTCTCCGAGCTCGGCCGCCACCTCCTCGACATCGCCTGCTTTATCTCCCCACTCCTCCCCCCGCCCCATCACGACTCCCCCCCTCCGTCGCCCCGCCTCCCCGCGGCACCGCCGCCATCGCCGCGCCTCTCCTCGAGGGCCCTAGCCGGAATCCTCAGCGACCTCGCGGAGATCGGAGGCGGCTTCCGAAGCGGTCTCTCTCGCCTTTCCGGCGCGTTCCGGAGCCCTGCCGATCGCTACGGAGGGTACCCCGATCGCGCCGGCTATGCGGGTACCGTCGGGGTGTCTGAGGAGCTGCTTGAGTTCGTCAGTGATCTCGTCAAGTGCCCCGAGTCATGGCTGGACTTCCCGGTGTCTGTGGATGACCGTAATTTCCTTACTTCATTAATTGAAGGATGCTTTTGTTGCAATTGAATGTGTGTTTTTTTGGTTGTCTTGAATTCTTGAATTTGGAGGTTTCTTTTTTTGACAATTTATCCCTAAATTAGAAAGACGTGCGAATCATAGTGGACATCAGCTCGGACGTTAAGGGTAAAAAGTTATGATAATTGCGGGCTACGTGTTGCATATTATCTACTTCCTTTCAGCTTTGTCTACTAGCTATAATCTATCCACTCCAAGTATTGCTTATGGCAGCATGCCGTTGTAACGGCCTACTTTGGTGGACACCATTTCTGCTCTATACTTTTACCACAAAATCTTAAGCCTCATTATCTTCCAATTAAATGTAACACTTATTCCACTTGTGATTTATCTTGGGCAATTTTCCTATGTTTCATCTGCCAGTTTATCTGTGTTACTGGGTTCAGTTGATGTTTTCTTGCAGGTTCAAATTCATATGTTTAGCTAGGAAAAAATCATTTTTCATTGTAACATTGGTTACTTTGCAATTAATCTATTTTATAAACACAGGTCTATGTGGTATGGCCATTGTTGGCTTGACTAATTTATAAGAGGAGTCTTGTCTAGTTCTTTGCCCCTGGAGTGCTACCTAGGAGGTCCAGCCAGCTAGACCCTAGTTAGGTTCTAAATAACAACTATCAACTCTTTTGCATGTTCAACTTTAAATGTTTGTATTTGATGTTTCAAATCTGTAAATGTTCAGCTGTTTTGATCAATTCCAAAGTTGTTCTTCTGTGCTGTTCATTGTTTCATCTTTTTAATGTTAATATGTTTTTTACACATTAATTTTTTTTTGTTTTTACATTCACTGTCATCAAGATTTTGAGTCCAATGATGCCAGTCAATGGTTGCCGTGACATGTCAGGATATTCCAAAATATAAGTGTTATGAATTATAGCCCGGAGATAATGTTGAAAGGAAAGGAAGAAAAATAACACAATCACAGACCATGCATCACAGTGGTGGATATATGTAGCCACTTTCTTTTGCTAGTTGATCTTCCCTTGTCATCCTGTACTTGTGAGTTCGGCAGTACAACCTCCGCTCTCACATCCTACGAAAGAGACATTGAAGGAGTGGGTGATGTAGGACAAGTAGCAGTGGATTTCCTTTTGATGATAGAGAGGTAGAGAGAGAAAAGAAAAGAGATAATAACAGAAAGATAATAGAAAAAAAGGATTACTACCAGGCTTGCTCTGGCTCAAGGAGCAAACTCCTAAGATAAAGGCCTCACACCTCCGTACGTCTCGCACATGGACAATGGAATGATTCCATTGTAAAACAAACGTGGCCTCACACCACTCACACACAAGGTGGGAAAGAACTCACCTTCCTTGAAGATTTGCAATCTTCAATCAATAACGAATTTGATTTCTTCCACTCTTTTCTGCATTTGTTTCCTTTTTCTTTGTCTTGAGTAGATGTTGTCATCTAACAACTTATGACGAATGCAAAATATCGCTAACTAATAAAATTTATTCAAATAACATATAGACTAAATTGCTTCTGCATCAGTGGGTTAGAAGAAAAATGTGAAACCTGATGGGTTTGGCTTGGTTCTAGGTACGTCAATCTTGAATATTGCCATTATGCAAAAGGATACAAATTTTTTCTAATTTGATAACCCAATAAGATGAGGGTAATAGTGTTTTATGGAAATGCTTCCTTATCTAACAACTGAGATTAGTTATGCAATATTCTATTTGCAAACATATTCAAGATAATACAAGGGAACAATGCCTGAAATGAGCGGAACCAGTGTATGAGGCTCCTACCAATGCAGGATTTGGGAAGCATCAATGTACATAGCTTTTACCATTGTCTCCCATGTTAAAGGCGGTTTCCATGACTCGAACCCTGATTTACCAATTCACAAAGGGGTAACTTTATCATTGTGCCAAGGCCCACCCTCTATCTTAAGATGAGGCTAACAAAACCTGAAATACAGTTAGTATTTTAGATGTTCAAGGATTAACAAGTTATTGGAACATTACTAGAGATGCATACACTTCATCAGTTCCACCTTTATATAATATTCTTGGGAGCCATGAAGGAATGGTTTGTTAAAGAAAACTATTGGAGATTAACCTGGATTTTGTCTGATTGAGCTATTTATTAGGATAGAATTGTATGCCCTGACCTTCCTCAGACTCCGCGTTGGTAAAAACGTGGGTTTGTTCTTTTCAACATACTGAAATAACATAGCTTATTGATAAAGAGGAATAAAAATTAACATTAATTTCATCAAATTAGAAAAAAGTGAACTGATGAACATGTTGAGAATATCATTGACTTGAGTCAAGAAATAGAGTATTTGAATCCTTCATGGATATCATGTAGATCGCAGAAGTGCAGAACTTGAAATTGTAACTCCCGTCTTTCTGTTGACCCTCGTGTACCAATTATCATTGTATATATTGATCATTGCCAGAGGCTGCATTAGTAGAAGCCTTGTGAACAACATCTGTTGTTTTTTATAATGATATATTATGGTGGATTGTAAGAATAATTCCCTCATAAATTTGGTTTTCTTGATGTCATCTTAGACTAGGCAGGGTTAGCAGGACCCTTGTGCAAGCCTTTGTTGTTTTTAACTCTATATATTATGGTGGTGGATTGTAAGAATATTTTCCTCTTAAATTTGCTTTTCTTGATCTCATCATAGTTTATGGTTAATCTCATTAATTTCTTTTTATGTCCTTTGTGATAACATTTGTGAAACGACTTTTTAGTTTTATTTACTTCTTACGCTGCTTATTCAGGGCTACAAAATGTTTAGGGACATAATAAGTGTTTCAAAACTTAGAGGAAGTATCTGCATAAGTACTTAGTACCAGTATGCACGTCTATCAAAGATGCACAAAAAGGCTAAAATTTGCTATATTAACCATGGTTGTCTTTAATTTACTTCTGATTTTGACAAATCTGGTGTGGTTTACTGCTGATAGACTGACAATGGGAAGCGACAACTAAATTGTTGGTATAATTTTGCAGCGTTTAATATGTCTTGCACTCAAAGAGAACACATTTCAACTGTTGAAGATGCTATTCCTGATTTGCAATCTCTTCGACTCAGCCTTTGTCCCACCTACATGAGTGAGGAATACTTTTGGAGAATATACTTCACATTATTGCATCCCAAGCTGAGCAAACATGATTCTGAATTGTTATCTACTAGTCAGGTATGTAATTAAATTCTTCATAGTACATATGAACTATACTTAAGAAAAATTCCCATGCTTCAAAATTTCCAAATGATTTTCTTGCTTATTGGTATATTCAAGTTATTAGTTTATCATGCTTCAAATAGTGGGTTTCCATGTAATTTTCGTGAAGGTAGTAGCCACCTGGCCTTATCTGGCATATTAGCTTGTACGACTAATCTGAACAGCCATTAGATCCCAAACGTACAGTCTGATTTGTGCAATTTATGTTAAATTGATCCCAAACTGATCTGGCATATTTAGGGTTTGTTGGTCAAAACAGTCCAAATTAGCTGATGCACCCCTTAAAAACTATTGTGGGTCATTTTCTATTTGTCTTTTTTACTGAAATATGTTTCGCAGCCCCCCTTGTTTTTTCTCCTCTCTAGCTATCTATCAATTTTTTAGATCTGGCCACCAGTGTCCACCACCACTACTTTTTGCTGGCTAGAGGTCCCATTTCTCCTGTTAGATTTTGTTTTTAGATGTTGAACTTGTAAATCTATGTTGCTATAAAATAGACTCGTCCACCTCCTCTGTTGTCCGCCATCCTAATTCTTCCTGATCTAGCGTTGACTATCACCATAGATGCCTGTAGCTGGTGACCTGCCAACAACTAGGTAATGCTTTTTTTTTCTTCTTTTGTTGTTTCATGTACTGAGAAGTATTATATATGCAAGAATTTCCTTTTATTTTGATCTGTTTGTGAGTTATTAATTAGAACTGTATAAAAGTAGACTTTCATCGCTTGTATGTTTTATAGTTACCCATTTTTGACTGCTAGCTTAAATAAATTTTCTGTTATTTGCTTTACAATTATATATGTCTCCCTCGTCATTCTAATATTTTACTTACGCAATTATACATGTTTCACTTGACAGAACAACTTCCATGTACCGAACTGGGGACTGCTGAATGTCGTTTACTGGAATTCTTTAATCATATAAAACTTAAAAGTGCAGCTGCATAGAGATTAGAGATGGACAATATCTTGTGCTAGATAGATAGCTTATGTTGATGTTAAGAATGTGCAAAACTGACCATCACCTACTGACCAAATATCATACCTCAGACTATGTTATCCTATTATTTTTTTAAAAAAAAAATCAAATAATATCTGAAGAAAATTAAATATAGAATTATAAAAGAAATATCAGCACTTAATCTTTCATCTTTTGCAAGGATTGAGGAACCCATGAGGAGGCTGATGAAGAAAAGAAACTGCACCGACAAGCAATAGACAAAGAGGATTGAGAACATTTAGGAAAAAAGGAATTCCTTACACGTATGAGTAGGCTTTAAATTTTCTATAACAATTTCTCCAAACAAACATATTTAAGACTAACAGAGTCACATAAAGTCAGGCTGAGGGTCCCAATTGTCTGGTTCAGCTAAAGATATGGTGGTAGGTTCTCCCAGTGGAATAAGTCTCTTTTGGGTTTTTCATAGTGTCAAAATTCCCTTAGTGTATTTCCTATAATTTTAATTTTAATAGCCATTTTTATGACAATTTGATCAGTATATGTTTAGTTATGTGGGAGAAACTACTACTGTGAGTGTTTCATGATAGCACTTGAGATTACTCGTCAATGTTGAAAAGCATGTATATTTATTAGCATTTATAGGTTTTGAGATATGATTGAACCTTGTGATTCTGCATGCATTTCAAATGGCATGACAATCATGTTCATATTTCTTAATTAGCTTTATCACGATTTTGCTTGATCGAAAAACTGATTCATTAGCTTGATATACATGAAACTATGCGACCTCAAATACTTAAACATAAGTTGAAGATGGTAGACTCAACCAATCTAATACTCCTCCCACTTCCAATCTGGGATTAGACTAGGGTGTTACAAACTTTTTTACATAATAGGCCTTCCTACTTGTGTGTCCCCCATTAAGTATTGGGTTAATTCTGATATCAATTGTCACAATTCAGTGTCATGAGAGAACTGGCTAACTTGATAGGCTTGATAGTATGTGTTTCAAAATGTTTAAATCCAAGTTTATAGTAATAGATCCATCTTCCATTTAAATTATGTTTAAATCCAGTTGATGTTTAAATTTTCCCACTTCCACTTCCACTTTATAAAGAATCTGGTTTGATGTTATCTTTCAACACTCTTCAGTTTACAACTAATGTGGCACAGATGGTTTAATTGTTTTCTTTGTTGCCTCAACACACACACACACACACAGATTATTTTTGTATGTTCTTTTATATTGTTTTTACCTCATCGAGAAATCAAATACGTAGATAGTCATCTTGCATGACTCTTTGTCCATGTCACTCAGTGTTGTCTAAATCTGCTCATGTACTTGGTGTCTTGGTTATCATGTTTGCTCTCTCAAGTTCTCCCCTTTTGCTTGCTAAATTAAAATTATTGCATGTGTGGTATTCTGGCTCATACGCCTATTTACTAATTATTCCATCTCTTAGATTTCATGGTTAGAATTTCTTCAAGAATTGATTCTCAATATTAGAATAAAAACTTTGTTCTGAAAACAAGAAATATTGTGACATACAAAGCTGAAAATTTGCACGAAGGTAGTTGCAAATGTTACTTTGAATCTGAATATTAATGGAATTTCCACAATTCTAGAATGCTAATTACATTGTCCAACCATGTTATCTTGTCAGTCTGTGTTTCTGCTGGCTTGAAAAGTTACTCTTCCATTTGATGTGCCTAGGTGATAAAAAGTTGACAGCCTAAATTTACAGTTATTGTTGCTCTGGTGCAATATTTTCCAGACACAGAGAAACATGCTTGTAGCTATATCTTGTTAATATGCCTGCAATATTTTACCAACATTTGGCCTTTCTGTTGACTCTTGAGAAATGGATGTGTGTGATCATTTACATCATCCTAATGGTAACTAGTTAAAGCAAATATTTGCTCCTCTCCTGGAGGTGACTTATTCCTAAGCAGTCTTTCTATGACTTATTGAACTCCTATGGCTACTCCTACTGCCTATAACACCCGGGTTTAGTCCTACACTGGAAGAGATTTACTTGTAAGGGCATATGATGGATGTGCTATATTAGGGAGTTAATTGGTTGACTTATAAGGAATGTCAAAGTATTGAGCTACCCCTAGGGTAGGCTAGACCTGATCCAGTTTGGTTCGAACCAGAACCAAACCGGCCCAGTTGTTTGTTGGTTCCAAACTAAACCAAAACCAGCCCTTGGCAGTTCAGTTTCGGTTTGAACTGGTGATTCCAGAATTTAAATGAAAAATCAGGTCAAAGGGGCCGTGATTGACCGTTTGAGCCAACTGTTCGAGGCCCAATGGTCTAGTGGTCGATTGTTTAAGGCTTCAAGGGGTAAATTACCTATTTGCACTCCCAATAGTGATATAAATGCATTTTGCAAGGGTGTTTTGGTTATTTCATAGTGATTTGATCATTTCACTGATCAAAACTTAGAAATAAAATTATGATCTTTTGTTGCTTTAAACAAGGTTCGTCGTACCACATCGTATCGCTTAGTACGAGCGGTATGTATTGGTTCGACTAGGGATCGGTATGGATGGTACATATTGGTACGTCAGTATGCCCCACCATTCTGTCTATCAATATGTCGGTACAGCTCTGTACGTATCGTACCGATGTCAGACGGTACACCAATACGGACCGGTAAGACAAACTATGGTTTTAAATTATTTTAATTAAAAATTAAAAGTAAAAAAAGGAACTGACAGTTTAAATGGAAATCAGAACCACCAGAACCGAAATGGGCCCTGTGTGGTTTGGTTTCGATTCCCAAAATTTAGGAATCGGAATCGTCGATTCTAGAACCGGGGTCAAGTCTAGGGTAGGCATCATATGCCCCTTGCTATGCATTTATCTGAGCTATGTTGGTACTTTGGTTTAGTACCACACAGAAAGTGACTTAGGTTTGATAAGTGGATGAATACGGTTAATTACAATTTAAGCATTTTGGGCATTTTGACTAGTGGTTTGGGCTCAATAAATAAACATGTCAGCATCCTGCTGGGCCTGGTCATGATACTGTTTAGCTTTTTTTTCCTAGTGTTTCAGGTCAAGGTTCTTGAACTTCAATAATGCTTCATTGCAAACATGCACCATATCTTAGCAAATTAACTGATCAGCTTTGGGCTTATTGTTTCATCTCCCTTTGATCATTTTACTAGTCTCTTGACAGATTTTGGACTCAATGCGCATAACTGCCAAGGAGACATGCAATAGGCCATCTACTCAATCTCAAAACCTTGACTCGGAAAGCTTACCTTCATTGATGAGTGAGAAATGTAGCACTATCCAGCAAGAGCATAATGAAGCATGGCAAGATGCATTGATGGCCAAGTCGAGATCTCAATTAAGCATTGATCAGTGGTCTGAGGTAACAAATCCAGCGGATGCTTCCAGTGACACAATAAAATTTGTACCTGATGATGTTTCGTTGAGGGACACTACCGAAGGTAATGTTTTAGTGATGGAGAAGTACATGGATTCCCTCTTGACAGAAGAAGAGCAGGTGCGTTTGCCCTACTCCTTTAGGAGGAAACATGTCTCTGCCAGTGAGGAGATCATGATAAATCGAAAAATGCCAAAATTGAAGATGTCTTCTGATGAGGAATCTGGTGATTGGCAAGCAGTTGAAGATTCTGACTTCGAAATTCTGGAGAAATCTTCAGTTAATAAGAGCACTGAAAGTTTCCACCGCCATACATAAATTTCCTTTTTCCCGTTTATTTCTGTAAAGTGCTCGATCTGCTGAACCATCATATGTCTGCTGTGGCACAAAGTCTATCCCTGTATATTTCTGTAATTAACTATGCTTTTGTCAGATGGAAATCTGATGTCAGCTTTCATTTAATTCAAGCGGTTGCATCCACAATATCAGTTCAACAAATAAGTATTGTACAAAAAGCAAGTAAATGTCATTGCTAATATAATACGTAGATTTTGTTGCTACTAAAAGAAGTACATCTGCAATGTACAAAAAGGCTAGAGAACCAAAGTGTGGCATATTTTATGTAGGAATTGTCATGAATTATAAAGACTAGATGTTGAGGTAGTTGGTAATGTTGGATTAGATCATCTGAGATGATTCTATTTGTTGAGTTATGTTTGTATAATTCTACTTTTACCTTTGTATCTACAACCGGTCGACCTTTGGGTTTTAATTCTGATAGATTATTTGGAAATATTTTGAGCATGGATGAATCAAGTTTTAAGATGTTTCTCAGCTGGTCAAATGAATGTTTTAATTTGATTATTTAGAGCAAAAATTTATCGAACGTGTTTTTGGGCTTGTGAATGTGATTATGAGCTAAATAACGATAAACCAATCCAAATTTAAATTTAGGTTGTATGCTGATTTAATGTTCGAGAAGGATCATCATTTTGTTTTTTTCATGAACATGCACTGAATTTGAGACCAATTTTCTAATTGATATGCAACACATTCCATCAATTGTGTTTTCTTAATTTTGAATATCTCGATATGGAATAAATTAGTTTTTTTATTTAAAGATATGATTAATATGTGATAGATCTCTCTATACCAATTGACATATTCCCTCATCTCCTACGTAATCTACTCTCTTCTCATTTATATTGGTCCGAAAGGGATCCAACTAGCGAGGGGGTCATACTTGATTTGTTTCGAGTATTGAAATTGACATAGAACATTTTGACGGTCAGTCATCCTCCGACATCTATCGCCATGTGAAGACTAGCGTAGAAGGAAAGGGTCATCGTCACCTTTCACCTGCTTTCCTTCACGAACTATAATTTAAAAGAAATCATTCGGACTATTGTTTGGGCTTATTCTCTCCGTATTGTCTATATCGGTAAAATATCAAAGGAGGAAGTTGGGATGGTTGCAGACTTGTCTCCTCCTTTGATCAGCTATAAAAGCTAACTCCTAGTACTATGCAAGGGTTCTTTTTTCAAGAAAAATTCATACCCCAAAAAGGATCTCGAACTAACTTAAATATCGGAGGGATTAGGTTGGGAAACTTCTCCAGACATTGATCTTAGTGTAGGTGATGCCTCAAAAGCTTTAACCCCCACCTCGAAACCATCTTAGTGTCATCACGAAGCCACCCTAAGACCACCTCGGAGCCACTTCGGATGCTCCTCCGTCTTCATATTTGGACCACATAGAGTTAGACTCGGACGTCGATAATGAGTTCCCCTATCAAAAATTATTATTCAATTTTATTTCATAAGTTAGATTATTATTTCATGAAAATTTATGTCAATTAAAGTAGTGATATCCATTAATTTTAGATTCTAAATTTTAAATTATATATATATTGGAATACCAATAATTTTAACTAATTGCTATGTACTTTTATATTGTGAGACGAGAATCGGTAAATTAGTTTCAATATTGCAAACTGATGTTAAAATTATTTATATCTATATAGCTAAGTCCATAGATTAATATTCGTAACATATTAGTATTGCATATTCGATGCTTTTGGGTGATTCCAACATTAATACGAAACTAATATTAATCAATGGATTTAGTTATATAAATATAAATAATTTATTTTTAGATTTTGATTTTTGAGTCCATAATCATAGCTTAAATTATATATATATATATATATATATATATATATATATATATATATATATATATATATATATATATATATATATATATATATATATATATATA